TATGCACTGTGCGGATCCTAATCAAATTGGATCCGCATAGGTGCGGGTACGTGAAAAATAAACACTGTATACGCGTACTGTATAGTATTGATAAAAACAGTCATAAAAATCAGATTCCAAACGGTATCGATATCGTGTGAAATTAACGTAAACGTTTTTGACAATGATTAAATAAACCAATCCTTTTTGTTCCATCGGGATAGGCATTTATATTAATGCAAAAAAAGTAATACGCAAAATTCTATCTATACGTGCAAAATATAAAATGGATTTCTTAACACAATACGTATGAACATCAATATGCATAGTGCGCCATAATACGTACAAAAAAACATCAGTTTTTAGATAGATTTTAGAAGTTCCAAACATCAATTTTTTTTTATGATTAGATAGCAAATCGAATGTTATTTTTTTTGTGGATAAATGCTTTTTCTAAAATTTTTTACTATTAGCAATCCTTAAGTGCGTCATAATACCCGGCCTTCCCTTATATTATACATATATATATATAGCATATTAAATACGGATAAAGTTTTATATTTTTGATGCCCAAGGATTTTTTGGACCTCCATGATCATGTCCAAGCATGTTCAAACTCCGAGTATTTAAAATAAAATATGTACATGATTATGTTCACCGAATTGCCCTGAATATTTTTGATTAGAAAATTAAACTCTCGGAAAAATATCCAATTTTTTATAAAAGTGTTCAAACGAGTTTTTGAGCACGAACCAAAGTAGTATTATATGTAGTTAATATTGCTTTATACATTTTAGGTAATTATTTTTATTTCTTTTATTTTTTTATTTTTTTTAATTCATATAGTAGTATATCTTTAGATTATAAGATATTGTATTGTTTGTACTAGGATAGTTATTTTAGGCATTAAGTTGATGGGATTTTATTGTAACGCACTTATTAATGTTGATTTAGTTTTATAGAAATATTTATTCATTAATTAGGTTCGTAATAAAACATTTCGATTAACCAGTAATATTTTGCAATATCATGGGATGATTTACAAAAATTAGCCAATTATTATCGCGAAAGTCTGCTAATGCTAATATCTGCCGGTTGTAACAAATCTGTCGAGCCAGCAGTTTCTGCACAAAAAGAACATAAATCATCTCAATGTATCAGGACCGCAGATTTAGTGAACCTTTTGGTAAAAGAATCTTGAATTCGATTCTCCAAGAAATCCACCTGATGTCAATGGAAATTGTGGATGATGAGAGAGGAAGAGTACCTCAAGAAAAAGGTCTATCTAATTCCACCTTATCTAAAAATGTGTTAGTATACTTACTACTGCAGATAAATCACCTAATAAAAAAAAAAGAAATTCGCGAATAGAGAAGATTCACCAGTATTGAAAAGAATTATTACGAAACTATCAACAGATGATCCAGGAAATACAGTAATTTTGCGACCTGAATCTGTCTCTAAAGAAATACTGATTCATTTAATTTTCTAGGCTATATATATAATAAAATTATCTACTTCTGAAGATATTATAATAAAAAAACAACACAAGATCTTCGGAGTTATTATGATTTTGAAGAAGCTTTATCAAAACAATACAGTCAGACCCCTAAATGCATATTCCTAAATGCATAATCTATGAAAGACCTCTCTAAGGCCGTTCTCAAGCATCTAAATCAATTGATTAAAGAATGATCGTGATGACGCTCAAGCATCACAATCAATGG